TAGTGAGGTTAGACGCAGGGTATTAGAAAATGATGGTAAATCAGTTGATGAGGTTGTGAATCTTCATCGACTGAGATGGTTGGGCCACGTATTACGTATGCCTGAACACCGATTACCACGACGTGCAATGCTATCCGGTATTGGAGATGGTTGGAAGAAAGTTAGGGGCGGCCAAACCAAAACGTGGCATCAGTGCTTGAAGACACTAACTTCTAGTCTGAGCCGTGTTGGTAGATGCAGACTACTTGGTTGGGATCCGCGTGACTTTCGTAACCAATGGTTGGAGACTCTTGGTGACATGGCTCAGAATCGATCACAATGGCGTCGGTGTATGCACTCCCTGTCTTCCCTTAAACTAAGAGATTAAAATCACTTCATATCTTTCTTTCTACGAACCAATTCTTTCTTCTTGTACTATATCTCTATATGCAATCTTCCTCTTATTTATTACCACCTTTGACCTAACCACTACTATGAATCCGGTGTTCATCTTGTTGTGCTGATGAGGTATGGCAACTTGGACCGATGCATAAATGTGCCTGGTCATACGTTGTAGCTGACTGCGATCTGAACGTAAGATATCGCATTCTCATAGGGGTTTTTAATGCAGACTATCAAAGATTATACAGCTCACATCCGATAGTGGCTGTAATAGGACTCATTGGTTCCCCAATTGGTAATGAAAATTAACTTTAGTCAGTTGTGTCTACGTTAGTTTATTACGACTAATTCATCTATTTCTGTGTTGTCGGGGACTTTTTGTCATACAAAATAAATATTTGGACGTTTGTTTGTATTTCTTATAAAATTTAAGTTTATTATAAAATACTAATTATTAATTATTTTATATTAAGAAAAAAATGGTTCAAATTATAAATTTGTTTTGAGCACGTCGATTATTCATTGATTTATTTGTATTTAAACAACCAACAATTTGGTGTATGTTCTTAACGGAATTCATTATCTTTTCAATGTTTTTAGTCAATTAATAATGAGTGAAACAAGCTAAACTATTACTGATTTTTGTTTAGCATAATCTAAAGTCGATTTTAGGAATATTTTCCGGGGTGTTTTTTATTACAGAAGAAGAAAACGCTTTTGAATTTCATACCTATAATTTCATTTATTTGTTATAAATAATCATGTTCCTTACCTGCTTGACTTTTTTTCTGTACATAAAGAGAAACATTGAAAAATTCCATTTAGTTATATGAGCATCTCTACAAAATTCGATGGTCTTTGAAACTTACTCAAAAGTTCAACAAAGGATCAAACGCTGTCCAGACAATGATTATCTATCATTACACTTTTATTTTCTTCGACATTTTAATACAACCGAGAGTTTTAAAAACCTTTTTATTCATCAAAATTTACGTAATCTACCCTAAGGTCAATCTCAGTGATTTTTTACAGTGAATATCTTTTTATATCCCACATTCTACCTATATAGTACGTGAGCAGAACGCATCAACACACAAAATAATATGTTTCTTTGAAAAACACCGAAGTTTTCTTGTTTTAGGAGAAATTTCGAAAAAAACATGGGAGCCTAAATAGATTATTGAATATTTTTACCATTTCTTTGATGCAAGAAATAATTTAGACACTAACCAGATTGATGAAACTTAACCACATTATTACAATGGTTTTTAGATGACTTGCCAATTTTATTCCCTAGTTTATTTGTGACAAAGCGAAATAACATTTAAAACCTAAGCATTTTAGAGGAAATCAATTTTTCCTACATGAGTTTTCCTTATTTATCGTAATGCATTTCACTCTCGCAAATAACGATTTTTAATATTGATGTATATGCTACTTGTAAGTAGCGCAAAAGTTAAATTGACATTTTTGTAAATCCAGTAGAAAAATGGATTACGGATCATTTCGGTTGATATTATACAGTAAGTTTTTAGTGTACACAGAGATCTGTCTAGTGATACATAGACGTATATTGTTTGAAACGTGGGACTGATATTTATATTTTTCCGATTTTGATCACTCTGAAACTTCCGTTTCGAAGTTCACTTCATAATGAAGATCAGGTGAAGTTGATTAGTATCTGGCATGATCAAGGATTATTTATTTATTTGAACACATAAATATTGGTACAAGAGAGCGCCAATATATATGCGCCACACAAAACAATGGGAATTCGAAGAGAAGTAGAAAGAGAAAAAAAAAAACTAAGGAACGCAAAAGAAAAAGAGAGTAATGACGAAGAGGTACAATCAGAAGAAATCTTTCAGGTAAGGGAGACACAACCACTTTTTATGAAGAAAGTAAAAGAAGGTTACAGCAGGATCGCCACTGGCTTCTATTCTGAGCCATATCTGATAACGTCTCTAGCCACTGTGTAGCACCATCTCTCGGACCCCAGCCAGGGAGTCGTGAAGGACCAACACAAGCCAGTCCTTTGCAGCTTTCTTTCATGCCACGACACCATGTCATGCACTGACCACCTCTCCGCTTCTTCCAACCAGTCCCAGAGTCGGCAAATAATGCACGACGTGGAATTCTCTGGGACGACATTCGGAGAACATGTCCAAGCCACCGAAGTCGGTGTTTCAAGATGGTGACACCAATTGAGTTATCATCTCTGTGCCCGAACACACGATGCCGAACCTCTGCATTACTGACATGGTGTTGCCACTGAATGTCAGCAATCCTTCGGAGACAACGATGATCGAACACAGAGAGTCGTCTAACGTCCTCAACTCGGAGAGGCCAGGTTTCACAAGCATAGAGCAAAACTGCTCTCACTGACGCGTTGTAGATCCGGCCTTTTACAGCCAGACTAACATCACGAAGGCGCCAAAGGTGGCCCAGATTGGCATAAGCCGCTCTGGCTTTCACTATTCGTGCATTGATCTCATCACTCACACCCCCACCAGCACTTATGCAGCTACCCAGATACACGAACTTCTCAACTACGTCTATCTGCTCACCGTCCAGGGTGAGTACAGGATTAGAATCCTGCCAGTCTTGTAGAAGTACTTTGCACTTCGAAGGTGCAAAGCACATACCATACCTACGGACACTGATTGCCAACTGATTAAGTGCGGATTGCATGCCTTGGGCATTATCGCACAGTAAGACAATATCGTCATTATTAATACTAATATTATTATTACTACTATTATGATCAAGGAAGAAACTACTATAATTGAACAATCAACAATGCATCTCATTAAGTGGCCAACACGATAGTAACAATAACAAGTGTGTGCTACTGAGTCGATTTATCAACAAAAATGTTGGTCATTTGGTTAATCTGTATATGTGGTGTGGGATATCATTCTAGTTCAAACACTATGTTACTGTGATGATTTTGACTAGAAAATGTATACATGTGTGGATGAACATCTTTACTTGTCCAGTCATATAAATTAAACTGACATAAGCTTTCGATCTTTAAAATTTTCTTTATTAGTTTACAAAAGGTTACACAAAAGCACTAAAGATGTTTTCTATCGTATAAATAAAAACACTTCCTGTAATTGATTGACAGGATTTCATGAATCAAAAAGTCACTTTATAGATTACCATAAAGAGTTCCTAGAATGGCTTGAATAATTTTATTATATTAACTTTTAATTACGGCATATAATCCGAATAACAAAAGATCAATACTTTTCACCCCATTTTATTTTAGAAATATTATTAGGTATTAAACAATAGAAACCTGGTTTTCGCCATGAACTGGCATTAGTTGAAATACACAGAAATAATAGACAGTGGTTTCATCTCAACTGAATCTTTCTCAACAATACCAAATAGGATCGAAACTATCACTTTTGGGCTTCTTAATGATCACAGTACCATCATATGATTAAGTAGATGAAATAAAATATTTCTTGAGCTTTTAGAACAAGTTAAAATGAACAATAAATTTTTTTTTTAATTTCATTGACTGTATTTGTTGTGCAAGTGTAGAGGAAGATAACCTTGAGACGGTAATGTACTATCATAGATTGTCTAAGGCGAAGAATTTATAATTGACTATCAAATTAAGTATTCAGGAATTATTGAGTTAGGATAAAGATTGGAAAATGTTTTCTAAAAAGCTGAAGCCGAAAGTTTGCATCAAACGATAGAACAATGTAGCCTGACATTCAAAATTAATTTATCATACTATTTATAATAAATGTATTCACTTCAAACTATTATTGAGTGGTCTCTCGGTGGTCAATGAGCCCAATTTTCAAATGTTATGTCTCTTTTCTAGGCCCCAACTAACTTCTGCTTGGAAAACTGAGTACTATCAATAGAATTAATTAAAAATAGTATCGTTTAGAGATGAGCATAAAAATCTATACTTGATCAATGAGTTATTTCATCTACATACATATATTTCAATGTTTAAAAATAATTTTGATTTGTACTTATACATTGGGATTCGATAAATCCCTCTTTGATCAGTAATATTAATTTTAAGTACTGCATACTGATATTTTCTCCATTATACCAAGAGAAAACTGGAACACCAACATGGTTACAGATAGCTTTATCATATAATCTGAACTACTTACAATTTTAGAAGGTACTATGAGATTATGTAATAAATTTTGTCTAATGCATGCGTGTCATCTATCTCATGTGAACATTTTAGACTGTCTAAATCTCGATTTTGTTTCACCAAAACTTTTATTTATTACTTGAGTTTAAGAAAATAATTGCTAGATATTACCAACAAACCGATATCAGACGGTTACTTTTAAGCCCAGATAAACACCAAGTTTGACTTGAATTTAATGTTTTACTCAATGGATCTTAAAACTGATTAACTGTTAATGACCCCAATTGTTATTTTTCCTTCACTTTTCGGCCGTTTAGTTCATGAAATGTGTAGTTATAGCGAACATTTTTGTAATTTTATGTTTCTTAGAGAATTTAATGAGTTATTCTGGGTGCTCGAGAAACATCACGCATACTTAAAAAATCATCAACCCATCATTCTAAATAATTTTCAGCAAGATAACTCGATTCTTTTTTTTCAGAAAATATTGAACAAAAGTGAAAGCCATATCAGGAAAGTGATATAACTCTGGAAGTCATACTATTTCATGGGACTTTTACAAGAACCTTTATTATTTCGAATCAGTCATTTGACACAATAACACTGAGACATTAGAATAACGTTCGTTAAACTTAAAGATCATTTAGAACGCTGACAAAACCCAGATGGAAATCATTGTCTGAATTTATTGCACAACATGGTAAACATTAATTTTAAAAATGAAGTCCAATTAGAACGAACATAAAAATAGAAACAGACTGATATTACAAAATGAAGAGAATATGTATTGATTTGCAAGACTAGTGTTCGCAACTGTAGTGAGGGGAAAATATAAAGTTATTTTTACATATATATTGAATGATCCAAAATGACTGTGTTCTCCAGGATTTCAATGCAATGTTAATTTTCAGTAAGTTTCTTCCATTACAAATGAAGCCAGATACATATTCTATTGCAGTTGTATGGTCATTATTGATGAAGTATACAATCCTCTCATTTCTTTTGTTATCTGCTTACAGGATAGAGTTTTCAAACCTTAAGTAGAACATGTATCCAATGATCAATACGTCGAAATAACTTAATGCATAAAAGCAACACATTTTAATATCAACTCGGGGCTGGGGTGTTGTTTACAAAATTAAGAGGACACAAAGAGAATGTTCGGCTATTTAACGGGATTGGTGGATGTGAAGGATTTATCTATGGGAGTTAGTAAACCCTGATTCCAAACCGATAGTGCACATGGGCTTCAGGATCCTGAGGGGACAAATGAAGTATAAACCTATTATTATTGACTGGCTACTGTGGGACTGAATCTCTTAACGTTGCCTTACTGCCTCGTCGATTGGACCCTTAGGCCAAAGACTCGGAGAATGGTTTATTAAGAAAACCGCCCTCTTCGGTTTGGGCGTTTGGGTAGCATTACAATTCGAATGACGAAGTGTGGCGTATATAAATTTGGTGCCTCATGGTACCAATGTTTTTGTATTTAAATAAATATATAAAATCACCAGTAACTTGAATTCTGAGTCACATGACTCAACCGAAGCAGTTACACTGAATGGAGAATTGTAATCTCAGTACATCTACCCTTCATTTCATGAGGTCTTTTCACCAGCTAGTTTCTCATATTCATTTCTGAATTAACCGAATCATGATTGGTGTACGTAATTTCACTAGAATGTATAAAATATTTGCAACCCGTTAATGCTGATGTGTTGTAATGACATGTTTAATATTTCGCCTCTGGTATTTAGTGCCTACTTGTATTAATGTTTATATGTTTAAATAAAATAAAAAACAACTCAAATTTTTCTTCAAGAGCCATTTTAGATCTTTTAGTTGGTGTTGTACCATACTGATTAATCTGTTTTTGGTTTCACCATCATTTTTGATTTGTTTGTAGGTTTGATAACAATACTTTTATTTTTCATAGGATATACATTCACTTACCAAGACATTTTATAGATACCGTATTTTTTGAAGATGGTTTTCGTCATTAACTACAATGATTTACAAAAGCTCTAAAAACTAGGAAACAGTCTGAGAAATGATTGTAATCACTGATAGTTGTCTTTTTATTGAGTTCGTCATAGCCTTAATGACAGACGATGGAATCAACTAAGCCGAAGGTGAGTTATTAACTCGTCATCAGTAATGATTAAGAATCACCTTGTTTCTCTTTTAATGCTCTCTTTAATTAAGCTAACTTTTTAAAATTGATTTTTATCACGTTATGCAACAATTATCACAATGATTTCTATCTAGATTTTTTAACATTCAGAATGATCTTCACATTTAATTAAAAATCCTGAATTATCTGAAATTGAAAATATGGGTCATGGATTCCCAGCTCAGTGGTCTACCGAAAACCTAAATGGCCTGACTTCGATCTCAGGATTATAGGTCCTGGCTTCTGAAGAGTCTCAAACAAGGAGAAGTAATCTTCTGATCCACCTTGATTATCAGCAGTTCTCTAGCCAATGTTAGCTCTCGAATAAAACTACTTTTGAACATTTCCTACTGATTTTTTTTGTTTTAAAAATAGACATTCTAAACTTCCATTAAAAAATTATATGCAACCATAGATTAGTCAAGAGTGGTAATTCTTGGAAGGAATTTCTTTGTGATGCTTCTTGCTCCTGTTTTCATCTTAATAGAAGTTGTTCATAAAATAATACAATTCGTGGGCTCATATTTTCAAGGAGTTCCATGCTAAAATGAAATAGTTGTCTAGTGTTCTCTAGTTTTTAACCATGCTCAACTGATGTTAGTCCGTTATGAATACTGTCTACAAATCAGATGATTCTCTATTAAAACTCCTCTAAAAATTTCTGTCCCTTGAAAAATCTTACTCTGCTTTTAAGTAGTTATATATTTCTTATAATTTTTGTAGACTGATACTTAGTCGTTCATTAATTATCCTTGAAAGCAGGTAGCTTGTTTTAAAACACATTTCTGACAGTTGACACATTCATTATTACATTTGTATCCTTTAATTTACACGAAGTTTTATTTGTTTGTTTAGTCTTGCTGTATTTTACAATTAAAAACACAGTCATAGATTTTAGTGCACATTAACTAATTTGAAAAAAAGCAAGTACAAACTGGTTAGAAATAAAATGATTTCATTCATAAATTTTCAAATGTATTCTGTTTATTCATTTAATTGTCATCCCATTCTCAATATTTTTTTTATAACTTAGCTAACTGTCTACTTAAATCGATCATCTTCTGAACTCTATCAAATATAGAAACAATCTTTCTTCAATTCAGTTCATTTGAATGTAAAATATTCTTTCAATTAAGCTCAACATTTAATTAACAGTTTTACTGTAAATTGAATTGAACTCCAAAAACTGTTGAAAATAGTGATATACTAAAAAGTGACTTCGTTCTAGCTTGGGAACTTTCAGCATTGTGCACCGACAACCATATACATGATCGATTCTTATTAAATTCAGCTAATCCTAATGGGCATAGAAGAACAATATAATATATAGAAATTAGATTGTCATTGTCCATTCAACAGTTTGGATTATTTTTAATAGGTATACATTAACCAATTGTTTTATGTTATGTTTACACTATCCTAATTGTAAGCTTTCTTTTGAATTACTAATTATTGTTATCTCTATGAATTATAGGAAATGACAATCAGTTAAATATAAATGGGTTATCAAGTTTTATGACGAAAATGACATGTCATTATCGGGGTGTGTGCTACTGACGTCGACAGATATAAATAGTATGTATCATCAATAAAAAGTGAAATGCCTGGTGGCAGAAGGCTAAGAAGTTCAAAGAAAATAGAACGTGAACAGAGAATGATTAGTCTGGAAAAGTCTTAGACGACTGATTGACGGTTTGCAAATGAAGTATTTACTGTACGGTTCTCAGATTTTACTAAAACGTTTTCTAATTTTTTGTGTTCAAATGCATTTGGCTGTCACTTCTGTTGTTATTGTTCACTACACTATCTCTAAATTGAAAAGTATTGCAGGCTAGTAATTTACTTGCACAATTACATAAGCTAGGATAATTAATAATGAAGTTACTGATGATCATACATCTGTGGAAATTTACATATTTTATTGATCTTGTACGCAGAAATCCAGTAAATGAATATACCATCAGTTTGGGGTGGGAGAGGGACAGGTAAATTAACAATCTATAGAAAATATAGCATAAGTCGGAGGTATATTTTACACATAAAATGATATTTAATCCGTTAACATCTCTATTTGATTTGTTTTTGTTAGTTTTTCTTTGAAATTCTGTGATATAAGAAAATTCTAAAGCATTGGAACACACAAGTAACTCTTGACTTATTTCCTCTTTTCCATTCATTCGATTTGATAAGACATATTTTTTTGGAAATATATTTTCCTTCTTGACAATGTATGTGTTTTGTTTATAGATTGATTTACTTTTCCCAATCTATATTACATTTCATCAATAAACATTAACCCCTTTATAATTGATAACATAGATACATAAATAGATATGTCTCCAGTTTTGTAAATACATTTCAAATTTGTATATTTATCAAGCTGGTTTAATTGGTATTGCACAAATTTCATTTAACCTCATTTAAAGACTAAATTAAAACTTTAAACAGGAAATTTCTATTATATTTTTCTTATGTTACTAACGTTATTTTACATGTTTACTGTTCAGATTGTTGTTATTGTCTATTGTTATTTCTCAATTGTATAAATAGAAAATAATCATTGTTACTTGTACCTAGTTTTATTATGTACTAGAGACAATGAAAATTTCAATAAATTAAATATCCACATATATTACTTAGAAAATAAAACTGACAACTAATTTTATGATTATTATTTACATTTTGAATTATTTTTCCCGCATTTTTTTTCAGAAAAAAAAAGATTTTATGAGTGATACAAATATCATATTACATAATATAATGAGGAATTTGGCTCTCTCTCTCTCTCTCTCTCTCTCTCTATATATATATATATATATATATATATATATATATATATATATATATATATATATTGGTAAACTATTTAGGTCAATAAATCGAATTATTAAACAATAAAACAAAACTGAGATTCAAAATCTAAAAAAAAGGAATATTGATAATTTATGATTCCCTCTAATAAATAAATAAATAAGATAGAAATTTCTTCTTTTTTGCCGGAATAAATGTCCCTTATATGTGCTTATACTTAAATGTATAAACACAGATATGTTGTTAACCATTGTAATATGATCCCATAAATAGATTTATTTATGTTTACATTTATTTTTTCCCTTATATGGTACAACTAAAGTTAAAGCGTAATGTTTAATAATTTGAAGAGAGTAAATAAATTTCTCCGTTTTTTAAAGTTTTTTCTTCTGCCTTTTTCCGGATTACTGTTGTTAAAAGGATTTTTTTCTTTTTCAGTGAAATTAAATTTTATTACGCCCCCAAATGCCCTGGTATGGCCGAGAGTGGGGTGGGTCCACCCTCCCTCTCGAAATGCTCTCACACAGTCACGCGTATACAGCCTCTGCCAGGGAAGTCCTACTCACTGCCTTCTCGTGGTGGGGGTGTTGTTTACGAAAATGAGAGGACGAGAAGTGAATGTCCGGCGCTTTAACCGGATTCCAAACCAATGGTGCACATGGGCTCCAGTATCCTGCGGGAACAAATGGCGTGTGAACCAATCGTTGGTCACCGGCTACCATGGGACTGCATCTCCTCACGATGCTCCACTGCCTTGTGGATCAGACCTTCAGGTCGAAGGCTCGGGGTGTGGCCCCCTAAGATAACCACCTGCTTCGGTCTGGGCATCCGAGCAGTATCACAGCACACACAGAAATATGATGAGCTGTCGATAATTATGGAAAATACTTTTCTTGCTTCAACTATTAATCGAACGATTCACATTATTATTATTACTACTGTTATTATTTACTACGTCATTTATTCACTCTCTTTTATTCCTACTCTGTCTATCCTTATTTTTCGACTTATACAGCAGCTCGCCTATTGTGGAAATTCGGTTCCATCTAAACGTTCTTGAGTAGAGACGTTATCAGATATGGCTCAGAATAGAAGCCAGTGGCGATTCCGTTGTAACCTTTTACTTTCTTCATAAAAAGTGGTTGCTTCTTCCTTAACTGAATGATCTCTTCTGAGTGTACGTTTCTGTTTCCCCATTATTATTATTACACTACCTTACACTAATCTGTTCGTTATCGTTTTTTTTACTCTCCTTACTTTTTTTCCTTCTCTGCAAATTCTCATTGTTTTGTGTGGCGCATATATATTTGGTGCCATCCTGTACCAATATTTATGTGTTCAAATAAATATATAAAATAAGAGTTTTATTACAGAATTTCTAATTAAATCATCATTAATTATTATGTTTGATAAAATTTCTCAAATGATACAATTCTAATAAGATTGTTTTTGGTGTTGTTGTTGCTTTAATGGGTATATATTGGAGTTCTTATTTTTTTTTTTTGTAATTCTCATTGTGACTTACTAAATGAATTAATATTCATATTGGCTAGATCGAATGATATTTTAAGTTTTCTTTTTTAAATAATCTTTTTAATCATTTGTTTATCTTTATTTTCTATTGTTTTCTTGTTACTCTATAAACTTTGGCATTTTGGCTGTAAAAATGTTCCATTTAATTGTTTACTGAATACCTATCAGTTACACAAACCAATTCTTTATACCTGTGGTGTGTGCTACTGATGTTAACAGATATAAGTAGTATGTATCATCAACTGAAAGTAAAATACTTAGTAGCAGAAGATTAAGAAGATCGAAGAAAAGAGAATGTAAACAGAGAAAGATTGGCGTGGAAAAGAAGGAACAGTTAAGTCTGTGACAATTAATTGACATTTTGTGAATGAAGTATTTACTGTATGGTTCTCAGATTTCACTAAAGTGTTCTGTAATTTTGTGTTCACATGCATTCGATTGTTCCCATTTGTGTTCTGGTTCACCAAATACCCATAAACAATTATTTAGATTCAATATTTTAGTGTTCGAAGTAACCTGTAGGAAACCTTGAACTCAGATTTTTCTCTAGCTCACACTGATTATCAAGGTATAACCGTGGTCTTCAGGCAACTAATAATCCCTGTGGAATTTAAACTCAGTCGGATATCCTGGAGTTTATCACCAACCACCTAACATCCCAATATAGTGCATACAATTAACGTCACTTAGACTGATACCCATACTTATAATCGATCGATAGCATTAAAGACTAGGTGTACACTACATTGTTCACGTCAATCAATTATAGCTAAGATGCAATAGGTACTACTTTAAGGAATAAGACTTTTTTCTACTAAACCACAAAGTAACAAACCATATTCACCAATATTTTTTTCTATTTGTTAAACAATTCGTTTCAATTAAAGGTTTTTCTTGAACAATATCCAAGTTTATTAAGTATACTAATTTTTCGATAGAATTTACTTACATAAAAAGTAATTTACCAAAAACATAAAATTAAAAAATCATTCTATGTTTAAAGTGTACTTTTTTGTCTGATTGCATTGACTTCAGAACTAATAAGAATAATTGATTACTTAATATCTGTTTTTTATCCCAGTTTAAAATTCATCAAAGATTCAGATTCATTGTTTATACTTTAATTTAGTAGATTCTAAGTAGTATCATTTAAGGTAAAACCATTTTCGTACTCAATGTAAATGAATATCTGACTAATAATATAATTTAATGAGATCAACCTAGAAAGTCATATCAGCAAAAGTAATTAGCTGACTAATTAAAAGGAACTAAAGCAAATCTAGATGTAGTTATAAAATATATGTACAAAACAACTGATGATAATCTATTGTATTCAAGTTAAAACCATCAAGTAAAAACACATTAGATCAATAAATAATGTAACTCGAATTCTTTTCATGCTTGCAGTTTTGAAGATTTTAGTTTAACTGTTTGGTTTATACGGTGTATTGTTCTTAAACAGTGATTTTTGATACTCTTTTTTATATCTTGATAAGATGGAAAAGTGAAAATGGAATTTTAAATTCTTATTTCGAGATTCTATTACAAACCAGAATATTTGTTTATTGATGTTATTTCGGTTATGTTTATATGATAAGCACCGATTATCTTGACAACAACTTTGTTATCCTATATAGCATCACTATTCTCTTCTAGCCTCAATTGCTCATAAAGACATATCTTGTTAAGAAGATTTATTGAGGATTAAATTTAAATGTACTTTAATATAATCATATATTTATTGATTTCAATGATTATCAATAACCAAATTTAATAACTAAGCAATTCTCACTTGAATTAATACAATGATATAGACTGAAAATCAGTAAATTAACTTCATATGGGATAAATCATTGTAAGTCGGAATAAAATGAAGATCAGTGAACAAAATTCATTTGGAATAATCATATGAATTTCAAATTTGGTTAATTCCTAAATCTCTGAGCTAACATCCAGTGGTGTTAATGTCTAACTTCAACCAATCGATGAAATTGCGCAACCATCTTCCATTATTTCAGGCAGATACCTGTCTTTACCTGACATGAATTAGCTCCACCAGTCATAGGTTAGAATCCCGAGAGCGGGATCACAGATGAGCATTGCTGAAGAGTCCCATACTATGATGGAACGGCCGTCTAGTGCATTCAAGTTTTCATTGGTGGTCGAACACCAATCGATTCATGATCTCAATCAAAAACTAAACAATCTTCCCAACCTCATACTAATACTTCCTAAATATTTTATAGTTTTACACATAATCAGAAATATTTTGCTCTATGCTTAAATTTTAAACAGAAGTGCTTGTAATGGTAATATTTATGATGCATTATATAGAAAATGCTACTGAAGAAATCAATAAGTAACATTATATTTTAAATGCAAGTCATATATATGAGCAAGTTTATAAAGACTTGATTAATTTTAAAATAGTATTTTCAGTGAATGATACCTACACACGGGTGTCTGTCCTCCAGTGGAAAAGTGATTAAAGGTTTCATAATGAAAGCGTAATCGTTTAGCTAAAGATTTCTAATACTATCTAATTTTTAATTACTATTTAGATGATATAATTATGTAATAAAAATTACTATAATAT